CCCAGCCTTAGCTTACACTTCGCACATTCCTACAGAATGCAGCAACTTCCTCAATTTTTGCAAGTTTAGTCTCTCACAATTTCATTTCGTTACTTGCTGCCTTCAACAAACCCCCGAATGAACGCAGGCATACCACCCACTAAATTTTCAATTTCTATCAGCAAGTGTTCAACTCCGTGCTTTTTGGTAGAAAAATGAGGGGGGTTATGAGGCTCCGCCATGGTGTATCGGTAACGTGTTCCCATGAGGGCAGAAATAGCTCGGGTTCAAAGCCGGGCAGACTATGATGAAAACACTAGAGTCTCTGATACCAGAATGACTTAAAAACTTGCTCATCTACAGAGTCTGCCTTTTTCAGCTCCTTTTTGAATGGAGTCATTGTAAAACAAGAAACTATTTTCTTACTCAAATCGTCACCGAAGATTATCCCATGGCTTGCAAAAACACATTTTTAGCAGAGCCGCTCTTTTCGAGCTTAGAGCAAGGATAAAAAAGTACTGACATGGCTTGGTTGAAATGGGCAGAACAAACTTGCTATCTGCGAAGTCTCCACCGCACTTTCTTGTTGACTTGGGAACCCCCACTTTGGCTAATGTGTACCCCTTCCACTTCAGATAACGTAGCTTCTCCATAAAACTTCAGATTTTGCCTGATAACTGTCCCCTTACAATTTTTGCAGGGGAGAAAACCTAAGGTTCAAAGCTATTTCAAATGAGTAACAAAAATACGCGGTTCCCAAAAATGCCAGCGAAAACAAAAATGACATGCGTTCAATGAATGACTGCGTCCTCACATTTCACCTTCTGCGGCAGATGAAGCTGTTAGAGGGTCAGAGTGAAAGCATGTTGCTAAAACCAGGCTCCTGTTGGCAAAACACGATGGCTCTTTTTTTCCAGGGCTTCTTAGAACATTACGTTGACAGTTTTCGCATGTTGAAAAGAGGAAAATATGCCAAGCAATAATCTGACTTTTATCTCCGTCCACAACGTGCCTAAGCAACTCTGCTGCAAAAAGGAAAGGCATTTTTCATTATTTCTCAAATTTCATTGTGCATCTTGCGCCATTTGGAAAAAAATCTAAGGGAGGCTGAATTTCGTGCCAAACCGTAATGACATTCGCAGTAGGTCTCAAAGCTGAACAGTCTCTAGTCGACAAAATAATGTAGGTAAAGAAAGTCGGCAAATTTGATCTATTTCTACGACAGAGCTTAAAGTGGCCGACCCAGCAACAAAACCAAACATTACCTAACATAGACAGCTCTTGCATTACAAGGGTGATTCCAGATAATCACAAAATAACAAAAAATGCCAAGACCAACCGGATAACAAGAGAGATCCTTGTCAATGATATCAGAGGGATGCCCCACACGTTGCATACAAATGTTTCTGAGTGTGCACTTTCGCTTAGCACCTACTGCTTATTCAATATATAAAACGCTACCTCTTCAGAAGCGCCTTGAGTGACCGGTTACTTTTTTGCGGGCACAAAGTACACAAAAATTGAAAAAAAAACCACACACTGACCATATTTTTCCGGAAAAACTGCAGGTTGCAGTGAAGATTGTGAAAGAGGCCGCCAACCATGGCTGCTAGATGGATCACATGCGTCGGCTTGTGCTTTTCAAAAAGCTGTCGTGTAGCCTCTGCATCCATTAAATTGCAGTCTTTTTGGCCGATGAAAATCCATTTCTCATTTGGACGTGCTTCCTCCGCTTCCACTATCTAGGAAAAAATACAGTTTATTTAAAATGCGACCGAGAAATGTGAGTATAAGGCCAAGGGTACCAAAACTATTAGTGTAGAATTCTTGTTAGTGATGTTACTAAGATGCTTCCACACGCCGAGCATAACTATGCTAGGCCCTTCGGTAATAAACAGTTTAGTATAATATATAAAGTATTAAATAAACGGATGTACATATAATCTTTTGGAGCGGAATTTGGGTCATTTCTCCACATTTTTCAGTTTTCATATTCCTAATTCAATCAATTCGATATGTATGTGACACTAGAAACACCGTTGGCTTTTTCGACGGCAGTTTTTATATCTCACACTGGCATGTAAGTGCCTTACAGGAGTCAATTTCAGCAACCCTCTTCTTTCCTCCTCACCTCTTTCAAACTATTTTTAAATTTAAAAAAATTTTTAAGGTTCCCAGCAAGCACCATAAAAGAGGGCAAATTAGTAGCATGCTTAGCTCCCAAAAAATACTGCGTATTCAGAATTGGTGCTTCCCGATCAAGCTTAAGCGACTTTTATTATCAGCATTTTCCAGCACTTTAACCTAAAGTTAACTTTTTCACAGTCCGCACCGTCACTATCTTACCCTTTCGTTCCCAATCTTTCCTGGTACAAGATGGCAGGGAAGGCTTATTATCTGCATTCAAAGCTATCCCTTAATAAGCTGTTTCTTCAGGGCCGGTTCACTTAACAGCATTACGTTCAATCACAATATATCTCTGAAAATCGCTGCCTCTCCTATAGGACCAGTACCCAAAACGCATTGCATGGTGGATAACTCTGTGTAAGTGGCGAAATCGCCGAGGATATCGCGCGATGCGGAAAAATTCGTGGTAAGAACGTGCTGCAGGTGCAATTCGGGACATTCCATTCTGAGCTGTTCCATGCCACTTATGTGAACTTTTTTGGAGCATATTTTTGTTCGAAGTGAGTGCCACAAGTGTTTGTCTGAGTTTTGAGAAGCACGGTAGTGTGAAGCTCCACACAATTGCAAAAACCAATTTTGCAGTTCTGGGAAAGTGTGACTAGTCGCCGTGGCACAACATCAAGCAGCACTGCTGCCAGTCGAGAAGAGTCACTGGGACAACTAATCTCTCTACGATTCATTCGTTTGTTTTCATGCCAAACTGGCACTGCGCATGCACGGCAGCTCGTCATCAGTTTGCTCCCAAGAAACTTTCGAAGCCATCCAGAGCCCCATCAGCGGATATTTACTGTTCGGACGTGCAACCACACGACATACTTCTGAGTGATCTCGTCTCTAAGCACAGGCCACAGGGTGATGGGTTTTTCGGAAAAAACACCACAGCAACTTCTCCCATCCGCATCACTCACGGTAGATGCACAGTTCAGATTAATTTCAATGATAGTGATGCATCGAAACCGTTACTTTTTCAATGGCGCGTCCAACCAGACCGGTACCTCCAGTGACCAGGATGACAGTCTCACCGCCCATACTTCCCGCTCTTCTTCCGGAAATAACCTGAAAAATTCAATTAGCACAGCCCTTCATCAACGGTTCCGCACAGTCGCCAGTTCTTCCATCAGCAAATCCAAAGCAAACTGCACCTCATCTGTGGGACAAGGAAAACCCGCTGCTTTCTTCAGTAGGCAGTGAATTATAGCCTGTTTCATATCACTGCATGCTCCCATCCCCTCTGTAACTCTTAAAATTTGCACCGACTCAGCCCCTACGCACAAATCTCCCTCAACAAAGTGACGCATCAATCGACATGCACAGCGCAAGCGCATGGCTGGGCGGATCTTTGTAATAGAGATGTTAATCATGCTATACATATACATACACATATACATACATATATATATATATATATTAAAATACAAAATTACCTTAAAAAACTTAATGAAACATTTTCCTCAAAATTTCGGCTTTCTAGCATCTCAGAACCCCGAGTTATAAATTTAATGTTTCGGCTCATCAAATCGTTGATATTCCCAATC